TCTATGGTGTCGTGAAATGATAGCCATTACGCATCGGTCTGTAAGGCTGATAACCTGTCTTACCTGTGTTCTGCACAAAATTCAAACTTGGACTCGCCCAGAAATATATAGTCCCTTATATCTATATATATAGGCCTGTATTGGACAACATTATTATGTCTGCCTTTTCTGGTTACTTTAACTAAACTCCACTTTTAAATGTATATCTCTTGGAGATATATTAAGGGAGTTATTTGAGGTTTCTTGGAAACCGATTTACTCCTTGCGCCAGTATACAAGGGACTTCTTTTGTACCAACGCCTGAAGTGTCTAAGTGACGCTATTCTCCTTGCCAGCTTCTCAAGCGTCCAGATGTGTTAATCTGTGCCTGTATAAATTTCACTTTTCAAGGCAATCTGGAATGTCTCAGTTTTTACATATGCTTGGGTAAGTTAATTATAGTTTACGAGTACCTAGAATGATGTCTGTAAAGTAGTCACTGCTGTAGAGAAATCAGTATCGGCTGTGTGATCTCACTTAGTTCGACCGTTCTTGATCGCTAGAGTAGCGGATTCGAACGTAGATCTTCCACTGTACAGACTAAATAGCTTATGCCCTCAATAAACCACCCATACTGATAAAACTTAAAACCCTTACAATTGTGTACGTTTTAAACTAACTAAAGAATCTGTACATACGAAATGGGGACAGAATTGGGTCAGGGCTTTGTTAATCAAAGTATGTGTGTGCTTGACCCAGATCAATGAGTGCTGGGGCGGTTGGGAAAGCTAGTGAATGCAGGTACTGACAGTAAATATTGGTGTCTGTGTGCAGAGTGAGGGGGAGAGGGAGAGTGATATATGTGTTAGACCACTTTATCTATCTCCACTGTATATCTGACTTGCCTTCTCTTGCACTAAACAGACAGAGGAAAATAGGAGACTGATGTCTCTTGGTCTGGAGAGGCAATCTGAGGAATGAAACAGGAGAGCAAAGGGGGAGTAAGCAGATGTGGGATATGACTGATGCTTGTTCTGTCTTTCCTGTCAAGATGTTACCCTCTTGGTGATGACTAATTCTGAGTTATTTCTTGGCAGGATGAGTCCTTTGTGAGGAGCTGGCAGATGATTCACAGTCCAACCAACATCCACCAACCATACCCTATAACCCAGCAGTCAATTAACCCATCACCCACTTATTATCACCCAACTACCAATTGAGAAGACTGTCCTCCTCAAGATGGGGTACAATATAACCCAAACATCATCCAGTGCCAGAGCATGTGTGTAACTCAGGGACAGTACTGTGAGTTACTCGTGGGAGCAGTTGCTGTGTGCCTATCCAGTGGCTGTGTGCCTATCAAGGTGCTGTGTGCCTATCCAGTTGCTGTGTGCCTATCCAGTTGCTGTGTGCCTATCCAGTTGCTGTGTGCCTATCAAGGGGCTGTGTGCCTATCCAGTTGCTGCGTCCTCTATGGTGAGGTACTCTTCCATTACCTGATCCTGTTGAGCAGAAGTACCAGGGCCAAAGACAGTCGATTTACTCGGAGCTGAGTGAGGCATCAACAGTGGAACTGGGATAAGTGACAATTATGTCTCAATTATGCTATATTCCCCACAGCTCCACTGGATTCCAAGGATGAACATATGCTTCTTCCAAGACTGTCTGACTGTTTAACTTTGGTTGATTATAGTCATTGTATTCTGGAATCCAGCTGTTGTGTTTTGACATCTACTTCACTATTTTCTATTTTGAATATTATACTAAATACATGCATTCATTTTCATGGCTGACTTAGGTTTCTCTATGTCACCTTTTTAAGTGTTTAGCAGTTGTATGTATATGTATCTTCATTATATGTGTTAACATGGTTATGAAAATGAACTATCATAACCTGGGGGCTTTCTTTAGTAAGTAGTGGGGGTGTCCAGCCAAGTGTGCCTAGAAATATGGTAGTTATATACTGATATATTTTGTAGTGCCAATACTTGAGTTGCCCTACTCCAGAGATAAGTTGATCGTATATTGGCCACGGGGAATCCCTTAGACCAATACGAGCCAAACGACTCAACATAATTATCTCTGAGTGCTGTTGGTTCTGAAGGAGAAATCCTTACATTAGGCACGCGACAGGAATGATATGTGACATATGGGTCTTGTGAGACAGACATCAGTGCAGATGAGGACATGATTCTATAGGGTAAGTCATATCAATGTAATTTGTGGCTGTTTCATTTGGATGTTTTTTCTAGATGTTTCCTGCGCAAATCTAGTTATTTTTATATTTTTTTACCTGTTTCTTGATGTTTTGTGTCAAAGAAAAGTGGCAACACTGACTTTTTAGTTCAAAGACGTGTCCTGATGGTGAGAAGACACAAACTACAGCATGTGGAGCTGTTGGAACTACAGATGAAACTCCCGTATTCTTTGTTATGGCAGTTGAAACAATAGTGAACAAAGCTAGTTAAACAAAAGTACAAGCGCGAATTTTAGGACCGGAAATACACTACGGTAATGTCAGGTGTCACTGCTGACAGACACAGAGCCTTATATCTCGAATATTATCCGCACCCAATTTTTCAGCAATGATTTTCGGTTACAATACTGTGGCCTATACAGGTGTAACAAAATTAAAACGTTAAGAGCATGCAACATATGAATGTGAGTCGTGGACTATGTCCCAGTCCTTAAGAAATAAAATAGTGGCTTTTGAGCTGAAATGCTATAGAAAGATTAAAAAAATGTGATGAACAAAGAAGAGAAAAAACACTGACATTTTAAAAGATCTGAACGTCAGATTGGCCAATAAACAGCATCTGCTGTGGCGGATTAAAAAAAAAATAGCAGAAGGTATGGTGCATGGAAGAAAAGGCCGACCAACACGAAGATGGGCACAGGATATAAGTGACTTCTTGAATATGGAAGTACACGAAGCGATAGAGCTGGTAGGATACCGAGTTTCTTTTGGGTCGACCGTGATGAGAGCGAAGTTTTGCAAAAGAACTGCTATATGATGATGATGCACATGTTAATACAGTTCTTCGGTAGGCAAATCGACAGCATGTAGTTATATAGGTAGAAGTGTAGTTATATAGACACGCAGCTCGTTAGTTGGGTAGACAGATGTGTGAGTAATTGGGTTCAAAATTAGCCAGTGCCTGAAGAACCTCGCTGATAGGAACACATTCACTTCGAGACACAAGTAACGATTGGATGATTGCTGATCGATTTGTGCAGCTGTGCCTTTCAACTCTCGTGTATTGTCTTTCATCTTTTTTATGACATGTCATTGTCTGATCACGTTCCCAGGCCACTGATTGTTTGTTTCCCGTTGCTGCCGATTTGTGTGCAGATATGCGATCTTTTCTCTTCGCTTTGATGTTGTTATTGCTTTGCTGGGCTAAAAGTACCGTTACGTATATGTCACTTACTCCAGCGTTTCACTTTTCCTTCTAGTATTTACTTCATTATCTTCCTACCTGCTTCTTCATCACTATCACATTTTGAATCTAAAACACACAGACACACAAACACACATCAATGTTTTTAAATCTAAATGTTATTCTTTTTTTGTCGCCGAACTGATACCGGGTAGTAGCCCAGTGTCGTGGTTTTCTGTATTTGTCTTGCGCTTCTCGGGTGGCTTGGGTTACGGATTTGTTAACCTTTTTTTGCAGATTTCGGCTACACCAATTATCCCCCCCCCCCCCCTCTCTTTTTTTTTTTACTTCATTCGCACTTTTATTTGCTTTTCATGTTGAAATATTTGGCCAGTCGTTAAAAATGTGCTCCTATTTAACTAATTTTTTTCATCATCAACCATGTCCCCAACAATTTATTGCACCGATATTGAACAAAATTCATTTAGAACTGGGAAAAGATTATGGTTTTAGAACATCTTCTGAAATATCTATAAATAGCCAAACAAATTCATGATTGCCACCATGATCACGTGACATATTTGCATAATATATCTTTTTTCATGTGTAGCAACCAATTGCAATGGTGCTCTTAAGGTTTCAACACCACGGCTCTCTAGCGTAGTTGGCTAAACCGGATTGCGCGGAGACCGGGTGACGAACTCCTTGTGGTCCGGGTTCACTCCCGGGGGTAGGCAGAAAAGCCACATTTCTCCCAGATTTACGGTATTTACACTGTAATCAAGGCCGAAGGGTTGCGATATCCATAATACCGAGCCTAAGGGTTAACAACTCATGGCTTCTGGATACTAAAACAAACAAACAAACATCAAGGTTTCAGAACCCTACGCTCTTTTTTTATTTTTTAATCAATTTTATTAGAAAACCAGTCATCAGTTTTTCCATTTGAGAATTGCGCAGCTGTCAGTATTTCTATAGTTTATCAAATGGGCTGTGTTAGCTCAGTCGATGGCTTTCAAATCCAGCTGCGACTCGCTGCAGCCCACAGTCCATGTTCGAAACCGGGCGGCTCCCGAGGTTCACCCAGCCTCTAGGAAATGGGTACCAGAGTTGACACTCTGGGGTAAATGGAGGAACGTCGCTGTAGCCACAGAGTTATGTGCGAACGGCGACACAGGTAGACAATTCTCATCAGCTGTCTGTATTGGTGGCAGAGCACTTATGGTTTATAACTGTGTGCAGTGACACTGGTTCACATCTCCCGACTATACCTTTTTTACTACATTGGTTATGTTCCATTAGATTAGGGATTTGATACCACTCATTTAAATCAGCATTTATTACTGCAAAACACCGGACTAATACTTTTTAATCCTAGGGCAGCGTCATCTACCAGGCTGGAAAGTTTGTGAGCATTTATATGGAATGCGGCTTTTGAAGGCAAGAATAAGTTCTGACACTATCAGGCCTTATCGTAAATTTTTTTTTCAGATCTCTAGCTATTGAAAACCTCTGGGGCCTCTAAATGTACATACAGTTTACAAACAAACCCATTACATTTATAAGTGTAATTTATTGTTTATTGTGCAATATCAGCGCTCGTAAAATTAACGGTAAGATTTCTGGTATCTGGCACGAGCTTCAGGACCACGACACTTCGCAAAGACGTGGATCTGCAACAAGGAGAGATCTGCCACACTGGGTCAAAACATGTCTGATCTCTATCTTAAAGGCTTCTCCACATATTTTTTGATTATAAGACACGATGACCTTGGAAATAGCTTTCTTGATTGCATAGATCTGTGCTACGTGACCGCCTCCTTTTCGTACGCACACGGATATCAACTCCAGAAAATCTCTCTTTACCCAGAAACAATACTGGCTCTTGAAGCTTACCACGGGGAATTTCTGCCTCCATCTGGTCTAGTGGGCGTCCATTGACCTTGATAAGTCCATTTCCACGTTTGCAGTGGGCTAGTGCAGTGGTGGTTTTCTTGCGCCCAAATACTTGAACAGCTGGCATCCCTTTCTTGGTTTTCCTCTCGGCCTTCCTCCCAGATGTTCTATTGTAAAAGTCTGACAGCCGCACCATATAATTTTTTGTTTATCAATATAATCCAGGCATCGTCTTATTTCAACATTTTCTTTAATGCTGGTATTTGTAACCCTGTCTCTTCTTGTGTTATTATTGACCTTGCGGAGACAGTGCATTTCACATGCAGTTGTTTTTTGTTCTAGTGCCCTATTCATTATCCATGTTTGGCACTGATAACATAAAGTAGGGATAAAGATGCCATTAATCGTTTGCTGTTTTGCTGAAAGGGAGACATTTGGTTATCTAAGCAGTGGGCCTAACTGGTAGGTTTTAAAGTAAATATTAATCAGCAGATAATTTCTCAGAGGACCACAGAAAACAGAAGACAAAAATACTGACTATCTCTAAGAACTGAATAGCAAGAGGGACTGCCTTGTTGATATATACAAATGGAAGCCCAAACATGAAGTAGAACATCTAAGTTTTAATTACCACAATCACAAACGAGAAAATAAACTTTACGGCTAGAAAGCTTTCATTAGCACACTATTAAAAAAAAAAAAAGTAAAGTCGGGAGATGTGAACAAGCGTCATTGCACAAGGTTATAAACCATAAGTGATCTGCCACCAGTACTTTGGGAAACATTGAGAGGCCGGGCTTTCGCAGACAGCTTTCATCGACAAACAAACAGCTAACACGGGCAGGTAGAAGATACTATAAAAACAGACGATACGATAATTAAACAGTAGTTCTTACAATAACTTAGTTTTACAGTGAGGCCTGTCACAACATATGCATACTGTATTGTGTCTCGTAAACTGAAACAGGCTATCCTCCGAATAACGGGCACATATTATGGCGCCCCAAAACACACCCTAACAGGACCTCTGTTACATGTAAATTGCAGACTTCCGGCGACTTAAATTGCGAACTTCCGGCAACTACCGCCACCGCCGAGAGTATCTCGTACGGCGCTAAGCGCGGCGTGGAGCGGTGCTAAACTAGATGGCTGGGACTCACGAGCAGCAGCTACCGCATCTCCTGCAGCTTCCTTCATTTTATTTGCTTGTGAGTCTCAGCTGTCTAGTTTAACCCCACTCCACGCCGCGCGAGGTCCTGTTAGGGTGTGTTTCTGGCAGCCATAATATGTACCCGTTATTTGGAGGGTAGCCCTGAAATACATCAGCCATGTTAACGTCAAAATCGTCCGGAAAGAACAGGAAGATGCAGGGGTCCACCAAAACTATAGTGGGTAGAGAATAGCGTGAGCACCATAACGTTTCCGAGACGGAAAGTTTGGCAAGGGACCGTGTGACTGTTTCGATGTGCATTGATGAAAGCGACGCTTTTCTGCAAATGTCTTACTAAATGATGATACTGACTATTTGGTAAAAATAGCTCCATAGCAGTTGAAGAAGGAACACCGTCACACGGGTGTAGGGGAGGGGTAGGAGGGCGCCGAGTACCCCAGACAGACCCCGTTATATATTTTCGGTAGAACTCACGAAGTCGGGCTCAGGGAGACCGTGATTAGCCGTATATTCATGCATCTTATCTTTTGAGATTCGTTAGGTTAGTTGCGTATCCTTTACAGGACGTTGCAGAACAAACCCTGTTGTGTGGTTTCTCTAGGCAAATCTACGTCTAGTAGTTTGCCATTGCTATCTGGTCGGTCGGCTCCACGATACCAGCGTCGAAACCAACGCAAGGCGCATGGCCCCCAGCTGGGATCGAACCTGGCATCCTGGCATTACGAAGCGTTCGCATCGACTTAGCCACAGAGCCGACAAAAGGTAAGTTGCGTATCCCTTACATGACGTTGAAGAACCAACCCCAGCAGCCCCTGGCTGTTGTGTGGTTTCTCTAGGCAAATTTACGTCCAATAGTTTGCCACTGCTTTCTGGACGGTCGGCAACCTGATACCACTGTTGAAACCAACGAAGCGTTTGCATCGACTAATCTACAGAGCCGATTGAAATGCGTTAGTCTAAGTTAAAATGGTATCAGATTGTACTGTGTCCACACTCTGACTGGCGATCACACTTGCTCTATATTGCAGGATGTGACCGGCTTTAACGAGCTAAGAATATCTAGAACTGGCCCTAACCCCAACTTAACCCCTCCCTCACATGCTCCGTCTTCGTCCAACGAGAGACTGCACCCTACGTGCCATGGTTTCAGAAGTGGTAATATTTGGAGGTGAGCTCGCAGAAAAGCAACACTCCTCTCGTTGTCAGTCGCCAACTTTGACGACTAAAATAAATTCACTGCGAACTAGAAGTCCGAGAACGCCATAATATACGCAATTGCTCACAGCGTGTACCTGTCCGTCCGCCAACATATAGATAGCAAAAAAACAACCTGACACCCCCGTAGTTATCATCAATCGCGTCCCCTTGTGGGATGCACTTCTTCGTTATTTAAAGCCCCACTCTGACTTTTGCTGGGGGCCCCGAATAAAGCTGGAGCACAATTGTGGCCATAACGGCTAAAAAGGGTTTCTGTGACCTCTCCACGTGTGAGACTCATGCGCATGGTGCCACTTTGTGTCACCGAGTGTTTATCGCTTCTGTGATGTCTTGATGTGCTACAACAAGCTAGCAAGCTGACAGCCCTTTAGCTAAGACTAATATGTTTTAAAGGTTGAGACGCCTGAAAAAACGGCCAATCACTGTCTTTCTGGGCCCGACTTCCAGAGAAATTTTCTAAGCAGGGGGCGCAAGGGGGCCTAATCCTAGTTTAAGAGCATAAATGATAATGTACTGTGCGTTCGGTAAATTCAGTGTACTTGAAATAATATGAGATTTTATAGCAGATTGAGAAGAAGAGCGTTACTATAGTAGGTTAATAGGGGCAGGGGCGTTTAGATTAGTTAGTTAGTTAGTCTTTCTTGAGCCTATGGCAGAGGGTATAGCTCTCCATGTCTGGCGGTTTGTTGCCACCTGTCTTAGGTCTTGGATGTTCATTAGGCCTATGACTGAGCCTTCCCTGTTGATGGTTCTACGCAGAGTCTCTCTTAGTCTTTCCCGTTTTCTTTTCCTCCAGGTGTCTATATGTGGGCTGGATAGAAAAGTCTTGTCTTATCCATTCTGAGTTCATGGCCGTTGTAGTTTAGATAGCTCACAAAGTATATATTTTGGGTGGAGGAAGGGCTAAATGGTTGGAGAGGGTCGGGAGGAAAAGCAGCATAAGACTCCAGGTTCCAGCTCCTATATAGTCAAGTATTGACTGACATTTTATGGGCTTTAGATTGAAAATTTAAATGTCATTTGTCTCCTTTCAATCCCAGTGGCCAAGTGAATGGACACAATCGTTGATGATACCACTGACAAAGAAAGGACATATGAAGAGCATCAACAATTATAGAACTATTAGTCTTGTCACCCACGCAAAGAAAATAATGCTGAAGATACTGCTTAAGGATAGGTTAAGCTCCCAAATTGAATTTGATTTGATCTCTGGAAACGGTGATTTCTAGGTACATACTAGTAACAGATTTAAGGGAAATTAATTTAGGTGGCTAAAATCAACATATTATCACTGAAAATGATTGAAAAATGTCCTTTTTTAAATGCGGTAAATAGCCAAAGTTGTATTCAACATTTACCAAGATATTTCAAAAACTAATAAAGATGGCTTAATGAAAATTTGCACATAAATGTAATATTTTATGTCAAACTCTGTGAACTAAAGACTATTCACTAAAACGCCATATTTTAATATTTATGCTTATTTATATGGATAGACATTGTGGTGGTAGAAAGTGGAAGAATGGACCTCAGTTTAAATAATGGGAAGACAGAAGTAATGGTGGTATCAAAGAAAAGAATTATTCCTTAATGTGTAATACAAGAAAATGGTGTAATTTTGGGACAAGTATCTGGGCAACTGGATAACATCAGGTAGAAGATGCATTACTGAGATAAGAAACAGAATAGGACAGGCAAAAACTACATTTTATAAATTAAAGAACATCTTATGCAATATATCTTTGTCATTTAGGGTTAGAGCAAGAATTCCTGCTTGCTACATACATCCAGTTTTAACATATGACTCGTCCTGGATTGTCCTGAACAATCGGTAGGCAGGCCAAACAATGTCTTGAGGCCTCAGAGATGTGGTTTTACAGAAGAATGCTTAAAATGCCTTGCACAGGCAAAAAGAGCAACCAAGCGGTTTTGAATGAGGGGAGCTCGAAAACAACTAATCACAGACATCAAAAGGAGACAGTCATCATTTTTCGGCCATGTTATGAGAAGACATAAAAATGAACATGTTGTGACCACTGGAAAGATCTGTGGAAGGAGAGATAGAGGAAGACAACGAGAGAAGATGCTTGACAGTCTTGTTGCATGGCATGGAGGTGTGTCGGCACACGAACTGAAACATGCTGCAGGAGATCGCAGATTGTGGACAGGCATGATCGCCCACGCCAGTCGGCAAGACATCTGATGATTTATATGGTTCACAATTGTTTCAACCAAAAAATTACTTGTTAGGGTTATCATAGATGACAAAATCTCATCAAGTTTTCAAGCTGCTGTATTCATTCTATTTCAGTGTGTCGCAATGCCATTTTCCTATGTGACTGTCAGGTTTGAAGACAATATGTTAATAACTTTTTGAGATATTGTTGCACAATATTTACCACATAAATAAGCATAACTTTTAAGCTATAGTAGAGTTTGACGTATAATGTTAAATTTATGTGCAAGTTTTCAGCCATCCTTATTATTTTTTTTTTAAATATCTTGGTAAAGGTTTAGTACAAATTTTGCTACTTTCTGAATAACAGATGTCATTTTCAATCAATTCCCATGAAAACATGTTGATTTTAGCCACCAAAATTAATTATCCTTTAATCTTTAACTAGTATGTACCTATTGAAAGCACTGTTTCTACACATATAATCAAATTCAATTTGGGTGTTTAACATGTCCTTAACAGATGGAAAGCAAAATCTGAAGAAATATTAGCCAATGAAAAGACAGGTTTCCGGAAAAATAGAAGCACCACATAAGAAATCTTTAGCAACGGAACAAAGATAGAAAAACAC